ACACATTGACATGGTAATCCGGCTGCATTTAGCAGGAGGTGTCACTTTCCCACCAGAGGCCGGCCGACCGACAGAGAAAGAGAGAGAGAGAGGCTCCCCCCGGGGGCTTCTGATGACGGACAGCCGGGAGGAGAGCGCGGAGGTCGGCTGAAGAGAGTGAGAAGAGCCGCTAGATTATTCTCTCAGAAAGTTCACAGAATAAAACCCAAACAATTGTATATTGAGTTAATAAAATATGACAAGTTATATGGCTACTTCCTAAATTTACTGCAAGTGATTCAAACATTTTGCTTATTTACGTGTTTAAATGTTTACCTTTAATGTCATTTGAAACGAATTAATATTCAATGGCTCAATTTAAAGAGTAAAATTAATCAAAAGGGACAACGAATGGGAGCTTTTGAGACCCGAACGCCCACGTGTGATTTGCTCACTGGCCTGCATTCATTGGCCTCCATACACATCTGAATCATTCATGACACATTTTGACAAGATTTTGAGCTGAAATGTTAACAAGGATAATATTAAGGCTAATGACATAACAACATATAGGCTTACAATGATGATAGTCCTATCGCTTCATTAGCATTGCAACAGACGCCTTTAAAACTTGCAAACATTGACAGGCTGCAGGATAATTTACTTACTGGCTGCTTAAATACTCATTTTAATCGTGGAAAGTCCGTTACACCACTATCCTGCAAGAAATGTAAAACCAATGTTTGTTTTAATTGAATTGTATCGTAGCCTAATAACACTGCGGCTTCTGCAGAACTGCAACACCTGAGGACAAAATAGGCAACGTGAAGAAGAAGAGGCATTAATTGGAAGCCCATCATGATATCAGATAGTCATTCAAGAAATATGGACGAAACGAAAGGCGAGATGAAGTTGCACACACGGGGAGTCCTTCTGCGTCACCAGCTGTAACTGTGTATAGGCCTAGATGTGCTGTCCAATATCACACACAGACACACACACACACACACACACACACAAACACACATTAACACACGCACACGTCCTTCTGCTGTGTGGAGTAAAGATCTGCTCGGTACTGATCCTGCAGGATGGTGGAGGTTAGTAATGGCCTCAATCCCAGTGTTTGACACAAGCTCGCAGGGTAACAGGGTGGATTCTGGGAGAAAATCTGAAAATGGTGAATTGTAAAATACAACAAGAGAAAAAAAAAAAAATCAAATGAAATTCAAATATTTCAATTATGTATTTTTGTGGTGATACAAAAACGTGCTTTGTCGAGCTTAGCTTTTGCAGTCGTGGTTGTTTTTTTTTCTCGTTTTTTAAATGAGACAAACTGATAATTGGCTACATGGTGTAAAAATAATGAACATAAAGGTCGTTGTAACAGACGCGCTGACAGTGCCATGGATTTATCACAACGCTTTTGCTGGCTGCTCGACCAAACTGCTCTCCAGAGTATTTAAATGTTGTTTCAAAAACAGATGATTTGGAGTCAACATAGCTGGTTTAGCTTGGATTCTTCTAGGCCTACATGTTTGTAAAGCAGCGTGATTGATTTTCATGAACAACCCAGCAGAAAAAATATCTGACAGACATTTGGTCATTGGCAGTATTTAACTTTTCTGTCTTATTTTTCTTATTTATTTGTATAAATGAAGCTTTAATACACACTGGAGAAAAACGAAATCTGCATATTCAACCTTTCAATGCCAAACCTTCTCACGCTCTTTTCTAAGGCAGTGATATTAACTTATAGGCTACTCATGAATAAAAAACGGTTTAAGTGTTATATTTAATCATTAAAAGGCTTGAACATGCACCCTGTGTCAAGTTCTGTTTGAAAGTAGGCTAATGTTATTTCTTTTGTAAAATGTAAAGCAAAGAAATAAATAACAAACAAAAAAAACCTCAAGTTGATTCAGATTCTTTTAAATCTTTGTAGCATCCTCTTTAAGATATTTAGGATTATGTGCTTTAAAAAAGATATGGAACAGTTTTCTTATGAGTTAATAAAATATTTTATAAATATTTAAGCATATGGGTGTGAAAAAAAAAATCTCAGCAGGGTCTTAAAATGCTCTTAATCTTGAAGTTTGTTCCTTATTGCTCCCAATCCTCCAATACTTGGTCAAATAATCTTTAGAAGTCTTTAAAAAAAAGTCTTAGTTAAATTCCGAGAATAATGAGGAAAAATCCCTTCAGACAAGTCACACACAGAGGAACAATACTGACACGTTGTTTGTTTTTCTCAACGATGAAATAAAAAAGAAATCTCTGTGTCACCTTCATTCATTCAGACTGATCCTCCTCCACCCTGCTGAAGTGTCTCTGAGCAAACACATGCCTTCCTCTGCAGGTACACCCTGACCTTTGGCACCTGCTGAGACAGAGAGGAGACCTGCAGAAGAAGTCACCGGAGCATCACATTATTATGATCACAGTTATTTGTTGTGTGACCTTGCTGATGATCACTTGTGCTGACTTGTTTCCTCTCCATCACCTGTGCTGCCGCTGCTGCTGCTGCTGCTGCTCGTGCTTCTGCTGTCTCTTCTTGTGTCTGCCACCCCCCCCCCCCCCCCTCCCCCCTTACCACCTTCCCACCTTAATGGTTTCATGCAGGAGCGAGTTGGCTTATTATACTAAAAGGTTTTGTCGCGCTAAGCCGTGCATGTGTGCTTAAAACGTACATTTCATTAACAAACTGCGGAGGAATAAAAGCGGATTTATGAGGCTTCAAAAGATCACAGGAAGGACGCGTTTCAAATCCCCCTCTCGGTGCTGTTTCAGGCGGGTTATACCAGCAGTTACACCGCCTTTCACACAACACTGCGACTCTGGGATTTTTTAAAAAAGGAAGGAGGGTGGCTGCACCTGTCTCCATACTGCACACAGGGGGAGAGAAACTAGAGAGAGAGAGAGAGAGGGGGTAGTAAAGACAGTGACTCTTTGACCTTGTGGTTCCTTAAAAAATGCCAAAAATGGCCAAAACCAAACCAACCAGAGGGCCTCACAAGCTCTTTTTATTAAACTGTAATAAAACATGCCATGGCCCATTTTGAAATGCACAAAAAAATAAATAAATGAAGATTTGGCTCCATAGCAAACCTTTCTCTATCGAGGGAAGAACCATTTATTATTTATAAGGTCAGTGATATCAAAAAGAGCTGTGTTGCTTTGAAGAAAAAGAATGTGTGAAAAATATTAAGACATCCTCTTTGACATGATCCTCTGAACATATTATATAATTTCTCTGACATAAGCACTGGGGGAAAAAAAGAGAAACTCTATAAAAGTGAAGTTCAAATCTGATTTCTTCGCTCTCCATGATCAACAGGATATAAGTTGCTGTATAGCTTCTGGTTTCATCTGCTAATTGACGAGCCTGCAGCTCACACAGGTCACCGAGAGATTAACACGAAGAGGCAAGGGAGGCGAGTCTGATCAGAAGCCATGTTCCCCTCCTTTGACCCGCACTGCGCATTATGAACTGTAGCGTCTGATTAATCCCGCTTTCATCCCGGGGAGCAGAGGTGTCAAAGAGGAGGCACACGGAGCCAGCACCTCTGACACAGCGCTCCGTAAAGAGCCATTCAAAGGATCAAATTAAACCCCGAAATGACAAGATGACTGAAAATAAAAATTGATTTGATTTAAACGCAAAACAGACTGCTGATGCATCCATGAAAATGCACTCAGTTTTGAGATACTGTCAGTTACACTCTTGTTATCAAATGGTAGGCCTATTGTTTTAATTAAGGCTAAAGGTGCGGGTGGAAATTATCCAAATATGCAACAATAATTATTAAAGTAAATTAAACTTCATGAGTTGATATTACTATATGAGGTACAGACTGAGAGATGATCGTAAATTACTCTTTTTTCCTTTAGTAACTCATTTATATGTTTTAATTTATTTAAATAAAGATTCGCTACAAATAATTGACTGCTGTTGATTTTGGATAATTATATTAACCTGCCAAAAGACTTCCGATAAAAATCGATTAAACGTTGGAGCACAACTAAATAAATTTAAACTCATTTGTTGTTCATTACTTGCACATTTTCGCAAAGTGAAAATGCAGTTTTCTCTCCTTGTTTTCTTCCCAAATGTTCTCACACACTACGCAGGAAACCTTTTCTGAATCCGAGCCTTCCCCGCTCACCTTCATGCTTGTGAATAAATGCTCTCTTTGCATTCCCCCGCTGCCCGCATTTCCTACTTTTTTTTTCAAATGTAAAAACATGCAATGATCGGGGTCGTTAGCACCTCTTCAAACTCTTAAGGAATTTCTTTATTCTTTCTCCATTCATTGTCACCGGAGCTGCTGCTGCTGCCGCCGCTGCTGCTTCTTTAATATTCTTCCCACCTTCAGCTAATCCTGCGGGAATAAATACACTTGAATTCATGGTTTGCATTCGCAGCTTTTGGATTCACGCTAAATGGCTTTTAAAACTGGAAATATCAAATGTGCAAAAATCTTTACGCACAGGGAAAAACATTATTTACGCATACTCTTGAATATGTTTTGAATTAAGAACATCCATTAATGCACGATTTAAAAAAACAACAACACACATTTAAAGACAAGAAAGACAAATCAGTGAACTTATCTGTCGTCGTTTTCATTCTTCAGCTTTCCACAGAGTTTAGTTAAAGGTTTGGGTTGATTTTACGCAGCAACGTTAATGCGCATCAGATCTTTCAATCACAGGCCAATTTTCTCTACCCCCCCTCCCTCACCCCCCCCTCCTCTTCCTCCTCCCTCTGCCATCGTTAAATGGTCTATGACGGACGAACACAGAAATCAGCGGAAAGCAGCATTGCTGATGTCCCATTGTTGACAAATCCATGAAACAACTCCAGTTTGCATGGTTTAACAGAGAGGAGAGGAAAGAGGGGAGACGAGGGAGGGAGGATAGGAGAGGGGGCGTGTGTCGTCACCGCACCACGTGGTCTGCACTGATAGTATATCTTATACTGGGAAAAGTAATCTATCAGACAGTCCTTTTAAAAGCTCCGGCCTTTAAAAGCAGCATGTGTCACCTCGACTTGGCTCTCCAAATATCACTCCGGTAGGAAATACGCGCACAGAGAAGAGACACCGGAGCGCGAAAACACATCTCCAAACAACTTCGAGGCTGCTTTTCCACCCGGGCCTGCTCACTAACAGAGTGGAGAAATATTTCCAGAAGTTGAACTTTCCTTTTCACTGCCTGGCTTTGCTGTCGGTTTAACCGCTTTTAGATTTTTGGAGACATCTGATCTCTTGACAGGAGCGAGCAAAAAAGTCCAGCGCACTCGGCTTGTGTGTGTGTGTGTGTGTCTGTGTGTGTATGTGCGCACTGAGCCATCACACCCGGCTGATTTTGGCTCCAGTAGACTTTTATTTTTTTTTTCTAAAGAGAGTGAGGAAGCCGTGAGATGACCCTGTCTGGAGGCAGCGAAAGAGCCAGCGACATGTCCGGCCAAACTGTGCTCACGGCGGAGGACGTGGACATCGACGTGGTGGGCGAAGGAGACGAGGAGCTCATGGAGAGGGGGGACAGCGACTGCGACAGCCCGGTAGGCATCCTGCGCGACCTGCGAGGGGAACCGGGCGACGAGGATGATGTGGATGATGAGATCGAGGTGGAGGAGAAGGAGGAGATGGGCTCCGGTGGAGGGAGTCCGTGCTGCGAGAGCTCAGGGGAGGGGGAGACTGGCACCGGGAAGGGAGAGGGTCACGAGCAGAGCGGAGCGCCGGGAAGTGGGCTCCAGAAGACTAAAAGCAGCCTGGTGAAGCCACCTTACTCCTACATCGCCCTTATCACCATGTCCATTCTGCAGAGCCCACAGAAGAAGCTCACCCTCAGCGGGATCTGCGAGTTCATCAGCAACCGCTTCCCTTACTACCGAGAAAAGTTCCCGGCGTGGCAAAACTCCATCCGCCACAACTTGTCCCTCAACGACTGCTTCGTGAAAATCCCCCGGGAGCCTGGCAACCCCGGCAAGGGCAACTACTGGACCCTTGACCCAGCTTCAGAGGACATGTTCGACAACGGCAGCTTCCTCAGGAGGAGAAAACGGTTCAAGAGGGTTCAGCCTGACATGCTGAGGGACCAGACGGCGCTCATGATGCAGAGTTTCGGCGCGTACAGCCTCGGGGGCCCCTACGGGAGGCACTACGGGATTCACCCGGCGTACACTCATCCAGCGGCTTTGCAGTACCCGTACATCCCCCCCGTGGGCCACATGCTGCCCCCGGGCGTCCCTCTTCTCCCCTCGGCGGAGCTGAACAGAAAGGCGTTCAACTCCCAGCTCAGCCCGAGTCTCCAGCTACAGCTCAACAGCCTGAGCACGGCATCCATGATCAAATCCGAGCCCTCGAACAGACCTTCGTTCAGTATAGAGAACATCATCGGGGTGTCCAGCGCGTCTTCCTCGCCGGGCGCGGCGTTCCTGCGGCCTCCGGTGACGGTTCAGTCGGCCCTGCTGAGCGCGCAGTCCCTGTCTCTGTCCCGGACCTCCGCCGCTATCGCGCCCATCCTCAGCGTGCCGTCAAGTCTTCTCTCTGGACATGTTTTACCCTCAGCGACGGCGGCCGCGGTGTCCAAATGGCCTTCACACTGACTTTAAAGGCGAGCAAATGAACTCTTATTTTTCTATAAAGACATTATCAAAACGGGAAGTGTAAAGAGCACAAATCAGTAAGAAACACTGGACTCTGTAGCCATGTAAAGACTGCTGAAACACAGAGCAAAAAAAAAGAAAAAGGAGATATTTCTGTACAGGTAATATTTGTAAATATTTGTAAAAAAAAAAAAAAAAAAGATTTTACCTGTGTGACTTTTACCTGTCTTTTTTTTTCTTTTGTTCCTGTTTGTGATTTTCTTTTTTTTATTGGAAGCTGAAGTCGTTTTTTGCTTCCTTTTCATAAAAGACACAGAAAGCTCTGAAAAAATAGTCTGTTTATAATTAAAAAAAGAAGTAAAATATATGTAATTCTATGTAGCTATAATGTGTTGTACCCTGAATTTATTTGTAAATAAATCTGAGAAATAACTAAAATCAGTTTTCATGACTAACTTTTTCAAATTGCTTGACAACAACATCACTAAATAAGAAACGTTTTGTAATTTTGTTTGTGTTTTTTTTAAATAAATAGGATCTCCAACGCTTAAAAAGGTACACAAGGGAATACATTTTTTGATTTGAAGACTTCATAAAAAATGTTTTCTTTTTAGAAAGCAATCACGTAAAAGAAAAGTTGCCCTGAGCAATTTCGAACATTATGTGTGTTGAAATGACAGAATCATTTTAAGGTGTTATTGATTATTAATCTCAGACAATCTTTACGATGGTAATATCGTATTTATCTTACATTTGTTTCAGAATATTTGATGCATACAGTATATTTTTATATATAGGTCTAGCCCATGTTTTACCAATTTCAGAGGAAAAACTGTAGTAATATTTCTGCTGCTTTTAATTTATAGGTTATTGATCCATTTAAAGTCTATCCAGTTTTAGATTTAGCCCATCTTCTATAAATGCCAATAAACTTAATTTAAAGATCTTAAAGAATCTAAAATATAAAGAATTGTTTTATATATAGAAATAAACGTACATTTTAATTCTAATATTTTCCTTAAAACAAGAAATGGAGAAAAAAAGGCAGAACATAAATAATGATTTTCTTAAATAGCCTATATAAATTTTAAAAAAAAGTGGGGGTAATTTTTAAGAGAGGAAGTCATATCCTGTCATCAATTGCAGATATGTGTAGACATTTTTATTCACCTAATTCCTTCACTTTTCCAGACTCTAAATCTAAAATAAAGTCTCAAGCTAATCCATGTGAACTAAACGATTACTGATGGATAAATAACGAACAACTCTAACTGTGTTTTTTTAGACTCTATTTACGGTTGTTCTCCTGATAATAATCTCTGAGTGGAGGTCACACTTTGGACTCTTTTAATCCTCCATTACATCAGCGCTGCTCGGCTCCTTTTACACGCAGCACATTCTGCGGCTCCGCTACTATAAAGGTAACAGTTTCGCAGTTGTGTCTGGATAATCACTTTTACACAAACAGCAAATGGTGCTCGCGCTGCTGAGAGCGTGTGTGTGTGTGTGCGCGCGTGTGCTATATTTATCTGATCCCCATGAGAAAGGAGCCACCCCCCCCCCCCTCTCTCTGCTTCACTTCATCTCAGACACCGAAGAAGGTGCTGATGATGCAAAAGACTTCTCCAATGTCACCCTGGCATTTCATTCATTATTATTATTACTGTGATATTATTTTATTACCGAGTTATTTTCATGGTTTTTAAAATTACAAACACAATCCTGGAGCATATAGAATCAACTGTTGGCTTTTGTCTCGTTGATAAATATAATCTAAACCATCCAAAATCAAAACACTAAATTACCTACATGGATAAAAAAAAAAAAAAATCGAAATAAAGACGTTTTAGGTTCTGTAATTGCTCCTTTGCAATTTCTTTAATAACAATTGGACTTTTCTTTTATGAAATAGAAAGGAGGTGTTAAATGTGTACACTCTCACCCCTTCATGAGGTTTTGAAAGAGACGTTCAGGTACCACCAGAGCTCTCTTTCAGGTTACACTCAGACAGTGGCTTGTATTTTACAATAAGGTTAAGTGTTTATTGTCTTATTCTCTTACTAAATATAGGACGACATAGTGAAATGTCTCTCGTTTTGTGTATTTTGAAACACAAAAAAAACAAAACATGAAAGAAGTCAAACCATCATAGGTCTAACTTGCAGGTTCATTTAATTCTTTTCCTCTTTTTCCCCCACTCTGAGAGACATGTGTGGGTATACAGATCCAGCTTCAGCCTTTACGAAACGAAAAAAAAAAAACAGCCAAGCTGTCGTGCATAATGTGCCAAAGGTTCAGAGTAAAAATAAAAACACGGATATAGTGTAGGTGTGATGACTCTGTGTGTGTGTGTGTGTGTGAAGCTGCAGCGGTGATGCTTTTGCAGGCTGACAACACACACCTCGGAGCAGACAGACCGCTAGGGGGCGTTCACTGACACCTCGGAAGAAATCAAAGAAATATTTAGGAATTAACAAACTGGAATACTAGAGGATTAAAAACTGCATCTACCCACACTAAGCCTATATGTTTCTTTTCTCTTAAAATGTGTTCAAATAAATCATAATAATGTAGGATTGCATGATCTAATTTAAGAAGGAAATATGCTAGACAAATCTAATCAGATAATTGATTATTATATACAATATATTTACTGTATAATGATAAGAGTCAAGGTTAATACTTTGCCTTATAATTACCAGAAACACAGCTTCATATAGGCTACCGTTTAGGACTACTTGGGTTTGTGCAGTGTTTCAGGGTCACTCATTGGACAATTGTCTTTCTTTCTGAGGGAATTTTTTTTTTTTTTGTTAATGTGGATTTACTTTAGGGTTTCAGATTATGAGAAAGGACAGCATTGAAAGGTAGCAGACCTAACGTGACCGTAACGACGTGAACAAGAACGTAAGGCCAAACAAAAAAAAAATAGTAGCCTAGCGAAATTGTAATATTCAAATCCGGCTGTGAGATATAATATTAAAAGAGATAGGCTATTTCATTTACCCTTAAAAGATTTAGGTAGAGTAGGTCTAATTTGTTCCCTTCCAAAACAATGAGATGACATCATTGCTCATTTATTCGGTGGTTGTAAATCAAATTAGGTAATTGTCTTTAAACAAAAAATAAAATGTTTACGTGCGTTTCTGCTCATTACGTAGCCAACAACACAATGTGCCGATTGGACGAGTTTCCCTCGCGCGCCTACACTCACTCACTCTAATCCTCGCGCCCTCGATAATGACCTATGCAGCTGCACGTGCCTGTGCGCACAGGTGGAGAGAAGTCTGGACGGAGGTTCCCACAGCCCCAGCAGCCAGTCTATATCAGTCTCCATATTGTGTGTGTGCGTGTGTGTGTGTGTGTGTGTGTGTGTGTGTGTGCGTGCGTGGGTGGCCAGTGAACTCATGAGCTCATTGAGTAAATTAACAAACACTTAATTAACACAACAGTTCATTTGGAGAAGAGTATTTCAACATGTGATATTAATAAGGATTTTTACATGTTGGTGTTTTGATTAAAGGTTTGCGAGATTGAAAAAATCAAGTTTGATATGTTCTTTAATCCAGGCTCATTGTATATTATGTTTGCACATTTGGATATGTTGGACAAGGTTAAGTCATGACAGTGTTTTCAGTCGTCTAAAGCCGTTTTCACATACGCTGCACTCCTGCAACTATCTAGATCATTTCAGGAGGACTGCTGCTGATATTCATGGAGTTGCGTAGCGTTACAATAATTATGACCAGCAGTAAGGGTCGTCATCATCATGCTGTGGTGTAGCCCACATTGCTAATGTGATTTTGAGAATGTCAGTCTCTTCAAGGTATCATAGAAAGTCAACGTTTCTACAGTACCAAGCAAGCGTGGTCACCATGACAGATAAGCTATACTGTTTTTAATAAGTGTGATTACTGTGGAGCCCTCAGTTTATCATGCAACAGTGCAGAGTTAAGTCGGAAAAAAAACAAAAGTCCAGGTTGATGAAAAGCATCCAAAAGTTGCCCTTTTTCATTAATCTGTGAATGAGTCATTCTTAAATGTTGGGGAACACCTAATCTGATTGGAAACAGGAGGTTAGAGTGAACATTTCGTGATGTACTTTCTTTAACTGATCAATTAAATAATCATCAACACTTGGAGCAAATTACAGCAGCTCTCAAATGCTTATTTTATCAAGTGTACTTTAATTTGACTTAATAGTTGAAGCGGTATTCCATAATTAGGCTTACGTTATGTTTATCTATATTTGCAATGTGTATTAGTAGCATGAGCTCTGAAGTAGAGGGTGTACTCCTTTGGATGTGACGTTTTGAGGATATTTTTCAGTTTCTGAATGATCCCTGTTAGACCTTTGAATATCCCTCATTGTCCAAACACTAAAACCATCAGCTTCATCGAACATAAATACTGAGCTGAACGCTTTAGCCATCGTCGATGTGTTTTCAAAATCAAAGCTCTTCAGGAGTCATTGAGTCAACATTAACATGAAGCGCCAATGGTAACCCTTTAACATTTAGGGTTTGTCTTTGTAGTTCCACTGTCTACATGTCTACAAGTGGACAGTTAGAAGTGTTTGGTAAATGTGGTGCTGGATAGTGTAGTGGTTATGGATGGAGGCTATAGTCCTCATTGCAACGGCCGTGGGTTAAAATCTTACCTCGCCCTTTTGCTGTATCATCCCCCCCCCCGCTCTCTCTCCTCCCAACATGTCCTGCCTCTCTTCAGCTGTCCTATCCAATAAAGGCAAAGCAGCATAGAGGTGTTTTGTATATCTTTAGGGGAATACAACGCTTGTTGTTGCAGAGTCACACATCCAGACTTTACATTTCAAGGGGACATCATTTGAAGATTGCTGAACCAGATTGTACATAGAGAAGGAGTCCATATATTAACTTAACCTGAACTACCGGTACATATTAAAATATCTGATTGAACATAAATAACTGATAACAAGAAAAGGAAGGAATGTATAACTTTGGCACGTCCATCAGACAGAGTCTACTGAATCAGAATCTCACTCGATTTTGACACCTAGTATTTCTGGAATAAGGAGAACAGAGTGTTTTTTTTTTTTCTCAGAAAGAATAGAAGGGACTGTTAACACGACGTGAATGCTGCTGGCTTTTCCTCGTGTTTAATTAACGATACAGTTCAGAGTATCTATACAATGAAGAAGGGAAAGCACTACTGCTATGTAGAAGTGTGTTTCTTTTAGGGACTGATGATGGGAGACTTCTGTGTCTTTTTGTTGAGTCAGTTAATATCAGACAGGATTACATGATGACTCTATAACCTGTGTTTTAAATAAGAACCAGATGGGTCTCACTTTCAGCAGCAATACAATACTCCTGTCAATAAGACACTTTACTAAATATAAATACAATTCTAAATACATGTGAAATGGTCTTTAATATGTTTATGCTTATTTAAGGTTTTCATTCATAAAGTAAACTTTGGATGTTTTCGAACACTTTAAGATATATACTTGCACAAATACAAATCATTGGTACACTCATTGTTAAATTGGTCTGAATTTTAAAAGCAGCCTGCGTGTTACAAAAGTAAGAACCTTCTGTTATTGCTGAGCTCTTGCCGCTGTAACTTTTGCTTAATGTTGTTGCTAAGTGCTACGCTCATGATGGATTAATGCCAGGTCTTTGTGAAAGGGGAAATATTAAGAAAAATCCTCTTTTACAGTGTTTCTGAACATGTATTTGGGTAACCGGAGTGTCTACCGACCCACAAAATGTGAAATAAACCCATCCAGTCCTTTCTTTGTGGTCTGCATAAGTCTTAAAAGACAGAGAAAAATGCTCCGTTTCAAAATTGCTCTCCTTGTGACATCACAAGTGGGATTCTGGTGAAGTGTCTCGAGATAACACTTTGCCGCCGTACAAATAAACATCGATTGATTGATTTATATTTGGAGTATTCTGGGGGGAATTTATGTTGAATACATCTTTAGGTTTGAACCTTTCAATCTGTGTGGCTTCCCTAAATGTTTTCCGTCTCCATGTTTTGAGCCTTGGTGCAAAGATTTTGAGTAAGGAGGTCATAACATAAAAGAAGAGGGGTGTCCCATAACTACTTCTATATTTTCAGAAATCATGAATAAAATAACACACAGTAATGAAAGGAGAAGAAAAGAGGTTTGAATTACATGTCTTTATATGTTTTCTTTTATTAAGAGTCCAAACTTGGATCAAAACAGCCGATAAGATCACGTCTGACTTACAGCGAACTTGACTGTGTACATGATGGACTGCTGTGACATTGGCGAGCAAGGCCTATAGGCCTCCATAATAACTAGGTCATCCTCCACCACAAGCTATAGCCTTCTCCTGGGTGGAGATCACAGACAGTAAATGTAGGTACAGCAGTTACTGAATATTTAAAAAGGCATAGAGATGAAGCAATAAATGACAAAGTAAAGCTGGCGTGGCCGGGCATTAATAACTAATGGCCACCAGTGAGTTATCGGCCGCCGCCGTTGTAATGAAAGTGTCATTGCAAATCAGCAGTTGTCCGTGGTTATTATTATTTATGCATAATTGATGCCACAACCACAAGGAACGTGTCTCAGCCGGCAAATCCCAACACCTTGGGAACAAAGACGGCGTCAACAGAAGAAAAGGTCACGGAGGAGAAGAAGCCCCTGGGCGGAGATTTACATTGTGAGGAGAAAGGGAAGGGGAGGTCTGCACTGTACAACACAAATCTGTGTACAAAAGGTCTCCACAAACCAGTTACACTGGACACTACACTGGAGACAACTGGTCCTATACTGGTTTACACATGCAGTTAGATGTCCTGGTCAGTTGCAATAAACATTTAAAATCACATGACTTACAGGTTTTCAAGACATACTACCATATTTTAATCCCTCAAAACATATTGAAATAAACATCAGGAATTCATTAAAAGATATCAAAGTGTTTCTGAGCTAACTTTCTGAACATTTTCGCTCATTTGTTCTTCAATTGACCGCAGTATCTCAAGGCTGTATTTGTTGTAGCAGGCAGTATTTCATGTAACTCTGTAACTTTGTCTAGTTATCAGAAAAAGAAAAGTTAAGAAAACCACAATAAACTTCTGTTATCCCAACAGTGAGAATGAAATATTCCTACTTTTTTAGACACCATCTTTTTAGCCAATCTTGAAAATCTCATGTTTATTTGCTAGTTAAAATGGCATGCAGAATATGGCAGGCTTATGACCCTGATCTGATAGTTAAAGAATTTATTAGCAGTGGTTAGAAATGGGGTATAATGTGGTCGATTAATCATGTTTGGTAATTGTTCCACAATAAATATCATGTTATCAGCCTTCTTAGTTTAAAAAAATGATTATTTTCTGCTGGAGGAAAAACTCTTCTTCATGTCCTTACCACTAAATTCAACCAGAAATATATTTATTTAAGATAGGAGTGAACAAACAGGGCCTTTAATAACTTTAAATATCCATATTTCTGTCATAAACCTTTTTTAAACATATGTTGCGTTCATAAAAATGGGAAAATATATTGAGTGTTAAACAATAAACAAAAAAACAACGACGTAACTCACAGTCTATGTAACCATATTTTAAAATCTTCAGATAAAACGTTGTCTCTCTCTTCAATACTGACTGTTAAAATAATGTAATTTAACAATGTTTACCTAAATACGCCGTAATCATGTCGCGGAACGGAAAAAGTCGTCTTTCTCGAGGTGTCATTGAACGCCTCTTGCTTCAGAACCGTCTACGTCCGCGTGCAGGGCCCAATGAAAACGCGCAACGAAAGTCTTGACGGGTGATGACGTATACAGGAAATACAAAACAGGCTTCAATAAGTGATCCACATTTTTAGCCTTCATTTCTCCCACCTGAGCTTATTTTAGTCCTCTGAATCATGCACACGTGGAGTCTCGTGTCGATCTGCGTGTTGCTCGGAGTTGTCACGAGATGGGGCGTTTCGTTGAATTCATATTCAGGTAGGAAGTGTGTTTACATGCGGCATCATGCAGAGATAGAACCACTGTCATGTTTTCTCTGCACTAATGCACCTCTCCATTATGGCTTAATATGTATTTAAAGCTATATTAAATGTATAAATGTTGAGGTTGCCTGTTGTAGCATCCTGGCTGGATAAGTTGTGTGTAATGTCTCACTGTCATTCATTCATTCATGCATGCATGAGGTTTCCCATTCACCAGACTAACAGCTGAGATGTTTTTCCTCCAGGGGCGGGGAAACCTCCCATGTTTGGCGACTACGAAGCTCAAAGGCATTGGCAAGAAGTGACCTACAACCTCCCTCCGCAGGAATGGTCAGTCTGAAGCTTCATTTGTTTTACTCAGTGGAGCAAGTGTGAGAAACCAGTGAGAAGCTCTGTGACGATCAAACACAAGAAAACACTTCTGTGTGCATGCATGGAGTCAGTGAAGGTGCCTCAAGTTGTATCACTTCTGCAGCTAGAGATGCACTGATCCACTGTTTTACAGTTCTGATCTGTTTCCGATACATGTGGACTGATAGGCAATGTTTACTTTTTATCATAATTAATATTGTTATTAATGTATTATGTTTAAAGACTACACAATGCAACATTGCATTTCTCATTAAAACAGCAAAAAATTAACAATAATAAATGAAAATGCATAAAAGTAAAAAAATGTATCTTTAAGAAATGTAATCTGAACTTTGTGCTTCACATGCAGACAGGAAGCAACAACAACAGTCAGGTTTTTCCAAATTAAATCTTTTAAACTGAAGTGTAAGAAATTGTACTTTTGATCACATAGAAGAAGCCGCTCCATCCGGTCTGATCGTCGCCATGGAGACGATTTGCGAGCACTTCCTACAGTTCAGTCTGAACGTCTTCAAAGCGAGACTGAACGAGCAGAGAGTGATTTAAACCGCCCAACCATCTTTTCAGGAGGGGGTGACGTGGATCGTTGTATCAGATCAGATCTGTCCCATCTCTAGCTGCGGCCGCTGATTATATCAGTAATCAAGTGTTCTAACAATCAGAAAGTAAATACTGTCCACAGCCTTCTGTTCTTCACAGAAATACATGACAAAAATGATCAGTGATATTTATTGGTAAGTCTAAAAATCAAACTAAGTTTACGAGGCTGTGACAGATGCTGACCCTGAACCGAGGTTAAAAAGATTATTCTTTCTGACTGGGTTTGCTGAGGTGTGCGGCTGTGTGTGTGTGTGTGTGTGTACATGGAGATATAAAAACAATTTACAAATCCATTGACTGTTTCTTTTTTTTTTTGTACTCTAAACTTCATTTTTTTTTTGTTCTCTAAACTTCATTTTTGTAATGAATATTGTGTAAGTGCGTTTTTTAAAGAGGGATTCATATTGTCTGTTCTGTTTTGTTTCTTTACACTGAAAAACCTTAAATCAACGATTCACGCGCAAATAATTACTGGGTGCAGTATTTCAGGCGCAAATCCAGAACAGCAGTAAAAGTTCTCCATATGAAGCATTGATCACTGTATACAATTATATGGATGAAACGAGGCTTTGATGCAAAAAAAATCAACTTGGATGGCATTACATTATAGGGCGTTACAGCCCTGAAGCATGCTAGTAAAGAGAAGAAAGTCATCAAAATGTGAAAAGATTTCAGATGAAAGTACACACTTAGTTCTCATGCATGTAAGAACAGTGATGATGTACAAGTCAGCTCAGTGCAACATCAATCATTTAATTGTGAATAAATGTACGTGGAACAGAAGCTGCACTGCTGTTTTCACGAGTGTTAATCTGACACTTCTAAATCTTCAGAGTGCATGTGCCACTTTGTCTCCTCCAGGTATTTCAACACCACTGACAATGACCTGTTGTACTGGGGTCTGGACTATCCTCCTCTGACGGCCTACCACAGCCTGATCTGTGCTTACGTGTGAGTATACTATCTATATATGTACACACAGAGACAGAATACTGCTATTTACAAACTTCTCTTTTTATTCATATTTAATATTATTATCTATATTTCCCCCCCCGCAGAGCCAAGATGATTAACCCTGAATGGGTGGAGCTGCACACATCCAGAGGTTATGAAAGTCCAGCACACAAGTTGTTCATGAGGGCTACAGGTACAGTAACACCTGGAAGAGAAAGGGTCAACCTCAACCTTAGGATAAGATTTCTTTATTTATTCATTTACTCTAATGACTGTGCAATGACAGAATAGAGATCAGTGTACCTGCTGAGATTGTGTGTTTTTGTTGTTGTTGTTGTTGTTGTTGGCATTATAAGATCTACTGTAATCGTGCAGTGCTGTGAAAATAACGCTACACTGAGTAGTGTGAACATGTTGCTAACGACATTACATCTGCTGGTATTTCTTGTGTGTTTCAGTTCTGGTGGCTGATTTGTTGATTTTCTTCCCGGCTGTGGTTGTTTACTGTTTTTACCTGACTGACGGATCCTCTAAAAGAAAGGTAACACGCTTACTGAGACATTGAAAAGTTCTACCTTGTGAAGCGAGCCCCACTGTGCTTTGTAATAACTGCATGTCAGGGAGTATACATTTAAACATACAGTTTATAAAGGTTATGACAAGATCAGCTATTGATCTTTGTTAAGAGGGCACCTCATGAGGTATAAAAGTAATAAGTGTGGACCGTTATAAAGAATAAAAGAAAGCCTTTTATTCATTAACATCTCCCTTTTAAAGTCTGCAAAGTTTATTTAAGTTATTAAAAATCACGTCCCCTTATTTTGATAACACCTGACATACAACCAATGCACTTTGGTTGGATACCAGACGCATTTTTAGAGTTGAGAAAAAAAATAGTTTTCTATTTAAAGGGGACATGTGGTATTATGAAAATTCCACTATTAGTGTTTCTGAACATACATTTGGTTAACCTGTGTCGACCGACCCACAAAATGTGAAATGAAAATGCTCCATTTCAAATGTGCTCTCCTTATGATGTCACAATGGGATTCTGGTAAAAGAATATTATGACCAAAGCACAGCACAGATGTTTCATTTAAACCACAGGGGGACTGTTTGAAAAGTTTGTCCTCTTTAAAACACAAACAACAAAGATATTTACCTCCATGAGACAATCTGTTATTTTTACTCGTCTGTCACTGCAGGAAGAGGCAAAAAAACTCACAGCACTTATTTAAAGCCTCCACCTTAATGATGTTGAAATATAACAAAATCAAAGAAACTCATCATTAACATACAGGAAACGAGACTTATGCATGCACATGTTATGCTAATGATTAATAATGCATGCAAACCAAAAGCAGAAAATGTGAGAATATGAGGTTTTTGAACCTAAGTGGTTTTCTAAATACTCCTTTTCTACAGGTTTCCACTGTGCTCCTCTTCCTTCTTTACCCGGGGCTTATCCTCATTGACTACGGCCATTTCCAGTATCCTTTAAGCACAAGTGCATCCCTGCTCTTTGTTCTCTATTATATCATTTTCATGCTAAATGTTGTGCTTCGATAACTTGCCTTGTATTGAAAGCTCCATGCCGACTCACATCAGGTGGATGGTACCATGAAGGAAACATTTGAAGCACTTGAAGATGAACTGAGTGAAATATTGAATTCATTTTGTAAGTTTCATAATCCTTGAAACGTTCAAACACGTGTGTGTCGTTGCTAACCACTGAACAAATTACACTTTGAGGGCATTGGTAAACCAAAAATCGGATGTGGAAACACTTTGTAGCCAGCAGCAGCATCATGTGCCTTTTTAGACTTCCTGAAAAAAAAAAAAAAAAGCTCAGTTTTTGCAGACTGAATGGATAGAAACTTTGGGCATTGATGTGGGGGCAAAGTAAGCTCTCTTCACTTATGCACTGTTGTTGTCCCGGTTTCATATTCTGATACCGATAAATCTGTGTCATAAGACTCTATTCATCCTAACTGTGAAATATTTTAGGGCTCATAAACTGAGCTTGGATCAGCTGCTGTTTTTGTCACGTATCAGAATATTGAGTTGTTTATCACCGTTAAGTGAAAAAGGCATGACCGTATCAAAGAGCACAACATTGATCTTAACCATATCAGGTACAACGCAGTGAGTCTGGGGTTTGCCCTGTGGGGCGTTCTGGCTCTGGGTCTGGGCTGGGATGCATTTGGCTCCATGGCCTTCTGTCTGGCTCTCAACTACAAACAGATGGAGCTGTACCACGCTCTGCCCTTCTTCTGCTACCTGCTCGGAAAGAGTGTCAAACTGGGCCTGACGGGCCGAGGGTGAGTTGATTTAGTCTTCATCCAGTGGAACGTAATCCTTTTTTTAAAACCAAAGAATTGTTTCTTTAGATTTTGGGAAATTGAATGAAGTAATGAAGTTGTCCATTTTATTTTTGATCCTGTGTTCTGCAATACATTTCAGAGTGGCAGAAGCTGGATGTTTAATTAGGATTTGAAAATCATCGCTGACACAGTAATGCAGATGATTTCATAACAATTCATCAGATAGATGATTCCTATGTTTTTCATTACTTCATTGTATTTTTTCGTGTCTCTTTTTCAAATGAGCGCTGCCGTTTGATGTTTTTTAATTGTTGTTAGAGCTCCCTCCTCTTACACACTGCATGTCGCTGATCAGTCCCAGAGATGCTGTTAAGACCCACCAATGTGTGTCCAACAGGTGACTTCTCCTGTCCAATGAGAAACCTCTGAGTTATACTAGCTTGCCAGCATTAAATCGATGTGACACAACAGATACACATCGGACACTGACATCATGCACCCATGACATTTGACGATAGGCCGATGCCCTTCAACAGGGCCGGTGTCAGCCAATACCGATGTGCAGCTGTAAAACAAATATTTTAAAGTTATTTTTTTGGGTTAGGGTTTTTGCATTTATAGGAAGAGAGACAGGAAATGTTGGGAGGACAAGAAGGGGTATGACATGCAACAAAGGGCCGAGGTTGCATTTGAACCCCAAGCCGCTGCGGCGACACATCGGGCGTGTGATGAAACCGCCAGGCCATCCTGCCGCCTAAGCTGTAAAGTCTTGCCACAAATTTGCAAGCAGCACTTTGTTTAGGTTCCTACCATTCCACAATAGTGTAGCAGAGAGTTAAAAGCTGTTGCACGCTAACAATACGGTGTGACCAAGGAACTGAAGAATGTGACGGATGTCGGGAACGAAAGAAGACAGTTCAAATGCGATTTAGTGAATTTTCATATTTACTACCCCTTTGGGGCGGCAGTAGCTCAGTCTGTAGGGACTTGGGTTGGGAAGTTGGGTCGGTTCAAAGTCCCGGTGTGGACAAAATCTGGAAGATGGTCTGGTAGCTGGAGAGGTGCCAGATCGCTTCCTGAGCACTGCCGAGGTGCCCTTGAGCAAGGCACCGAACCCCCCCCCCCACCCACCACCAGCTCAGGACGGCCTGCCGGGGGCGGCTCCGTCACTCTGACATCTCTCCATTAGTGCACGTCCACAGGATCCTGTTTGTTCATGTGTGTGTGTTGCATGACTCACAGTGTAAAAACTGAATTTCCTCTTGCGGGATCAAAGAAAAGCAAACTTTCAATCTTAAATCTTGAAAGAAGACTTTGACGACCTCCCAGTGTACTTTCTGGAAATTAAATGATCTCGCAATAGAACATGTGCAGGCAAAACGGAGAGGATTCATTTTTTTTTTTTTTATATCCGTGAACTTCTGTGAAGTCCCGATGAAATTGGCCGTGTCTTGTTTTGGCCGTGTCATTTATTTTGTCACTCCGTGGTGAAAATGTCAGCTGTGCGCTCAGAGGAGATACATGTAACGTCAGTGTCTAAGCGAGCCGTGTCCTCAGGAGAGCCGCAGAATGACTGAGGTAATCAGATTGGATGCTGTTACTGGTGGGTCCAGTGTCTGTTTATCTAGTAACAATGTACCAAGGGCATTTAGTAGCAAATGGGGAGCTGGATTATAAGTGGGGGGTTGGAGGGGGGAGGGGGGGGGGGGGGATATGTCCAGATGACACTCTCGTCATGCCCAAACTCCCCAGCTATGCTGTGCGTGCAACTTAACCAGCAGCTTCACAGTTACAGCTGACAAGATAGGCTGACCTACACCGAAGACTTTCAGCTGATGCATGGGCTTTCACTGCATTCCTCCACACGAGGGTCAAACACCAAATTTAGGACACGCAAGACAGTATGCACTAATTGTTTGAGGAGTAAAAGAAGACAAACTGAAGCTTATTTTTATAAAACGGTAAAAAAAAAAAAAAAAAAAAGTCTGTTTGAATTCAAAGATGTCAAACTGTAAAATGTGGAAGTCCAGTGAGGGTGAATACTTAATGCAGGACACTAAATGTGTACTTCCTGCTCTCTTTTCCTCTTGTGTGTGTGACCCCCGCTCATGTAGGTTCTTCACGCTGGCGAGAATCGCTTCGTCAGTGTTGGTGACCTTTGCCCTCTGCTGGCTGCCCTTCCTGTCCGACCCCGGTCAGGCCTCGCAGGTGGTCAGGAGGATCTTTCCCGTGGCTCGCGGTCTCTATGAGGTACAGTAGAGTGTCTTGAGAGACGATTCAGCCGGGGAAACTGCACCCGCAACCGATAAGCTTCATGTTGCCTCGGAGCTGCAGTCTGATCAAGAAAACATTTGTAGTCTTTGTCACGCAGGCGTCTAAGAATAGCAGCTCCCAATATATCATTAAGAGAAAACGACAAGACGATAATATCTCCTGACAAACACGCTGTTCGTCCGCTGTGGCCTGCAGAAACAACATATTTCACTGAAACCCTCGAGGTGCTGCAGATGTTTCTTCTCCTCTGCAACTTCACAGAAATGGATGTATGGATGTGACTTTAATTATAGTAATCAAATGTTCTGAAATTACAAACACCATACGCAGTGAAATTGAAAATGTTTGGCATTTTGATTCAATAAGCCTCCGGGATTATTTTGATGCCTTTACATGATAAAAATGTATGTTTCTCATATAAAGGAACAGAGATACTGCTGTGTCTCTGTTTAGCCTAAGGACGGGATCGTTTCAGATCTGCTGGATGTGAGTCTGTGGCTGCTCTTCAGGCGTAGATGTCCTCAGGATGCCTGCAATCTAAATATAGAGTATAGAGTACATATAGAGTGAGAGTTGGGGGTTATTGAAAAATGATTAGATTGAAAGAAAAGACGCCGAGTTTTGCATGTTTGTTTTTTTCTGACTTTTCTTTATCTTTTCCTTTCTGCTACGTCTTTAAGAATAGTTGTGTTTCCTCTCTTTCCTTAAGTTTACAGTAAGTGTAACTTATTCATCGGGTTTGGGATATGCTTCCCACACTGATGGTTCCTAACCTTTAAAGAAGCTAAGCACCTAGCAACAAGCTAAAGTAACGATAGCTGCTGCTCAGTTCGTTCATCCCCTCTTGACTTCTGTTACTGCTAAAGAACATTTGAGACACACTGACTTGACTAAACATGAAATTGTTACATTTCACTGGTTATATCCTTTAATTTAAAATAAATAAATAAACAGCCGAAACATGTTTGATCGTCAAATGATACAGACAAAAGACAAGATGGTTTAGTTTAACAGTTGTTCATATGATTAAAAAAGGAAAGAGATAAAATTTAAAAAAAGGATAATGGAGAAGTGAGTGGAAGAAAAGAGGTTTTTATTGGTTTATTATTATTGACCTGAAATTGGTTTGTCATTTCTTTGCAGCTCAAAGACCGTTTAGTAAGTTGTCCAGATATGATGTATGTTATTTCAGTGTAGGCTACTCTTCTTCATAAACAAGTAGTTATCCGTTATATAAATGGCCGACAGGGTCCCCCGCGCACAGCCGAAAAACGTTCTCAGGCGTGCACCGTTGCAGGAACATACCACGAAAAAATAAATCAAAAGTCTGTGGCACACTGAAAATAACTTTACTATAACTTTACATGTTTGGCCTGTAGCTTCCTCAGGTTCGCACCAGAAGTTGTTCTCCGTTATTGGTATCAGAACAACTGAACTTTCACACCACTGTATCGAATCTTTACATTGAGTAGTTTATCTTTAATTTGCTCTTATTCTTATCTGCATGTGGTGTACTGTTGGGCATTAAACGTTCACTAAGAGATATCCTTAATTCACCTTTTTTCTTTTTTAAATAAATATAACTTCTGTTGGCACATGATGTTGTTGAGAGGAACAACACAGCGAGGGAACTCCTCAGTTTTAATCCTGTTAAAGCGAGAGAGGCTGCTGGTGATATTTTTAGCTTTTTTTTAGGGATGACTTTATTTTGTTTATTGGTTCGGTATTTTTGTTTTTGCCTATTTTTAGTTTCTTGCCTGCAGAAATGAATGTTCACTATTTTTTTAGGAAGTTAGAGGTTTCTCAGAAGCCATTTATGGATTTAAAGAATATGATTTGGAGCTCGTGGCTGTGGCGGATGCTTTTTTTTTTTTTTTTTTTTTTTTAGTCATTCATAAACAAGCCATGTGGTGCTCCTCTTGCACTGCACACGGATCCCCTGCAGGATCAGAATAAAATATTGAAAGGTCAGGAGATCAGTTCCAGTCGGTGTTTGGTGTGTACAGTAACAGGATAGAGATAAATCCAACTAATTTATGACCTGGCTGTTTTCAGCACTTCATAGCACAGCCGTGTTCTGCCCGTATGGACTGATGAGTCGGGCCGACGCTACACTTACAGGCGTATCAGAGCACATACAACAACAACTGCTGCCTGCTACGGAAAGCACATGAGTATGTTAGCAATGTTGGGGAAGCTTGTTGGAAAGACATTAACCTTTTGAAGAAGTCAAAATACAGCAAAGCTACCCGAGGAAGAGATCAATAAAGCTGCTAAATAAAACATACTGTGATAGAAGATGACAAATATTCCCTTTGATTTGCATCCTAATGATTGCACTCTTCCTTTAATGCTCTCCTCTGAACCCTTTATTGAGATTTCAGCTGCTTCTTCTTCTTCCCATGTCTTTGTGTCGGGGTCTGACAAGCTTTCTGTCTGAGTGTCTCATGTAGGCTTTCTATGGAGGTCATTATTTGCCACCAAAGGCTGGCATTTCTGAAGTTTATGCTAGAAAATAAGTAGGTAAGTAAGGAAGTAGGAAAAAATAAGAATTTTCAGAATTATTTTGTGCAAATGAATGAAGCAATAAAAGGATCGGTACCCAAAGTATGTTAAATTAAAATCAATGACTTTAGAAAGTGTGGGACTCCTCCAAACAGGACCTTTTTGTCTGGATAAAATGTGGATAAAAATGAAGGAAGCTTGTCTCTTAGTATTTTAGATACAACTAAGGAACATACGGCATTCAGGAGAGGGGGAAAACCAAGAACACATTATGAAATATGAAAAAATATCATGTAAAAAAAGGCAAATGCCACAAAAGAGTCACTCGCTGAGTTTATTGCTGGAAGTTGCCCCCTTGTTTACAGTTCATACACGATCAATTACAAACCAATACTCCAATATTTATGGTTAACAGTGAGGAATATCTGTCTCACACACGCACCTACTGGACTCAAGGGTTCAGGTTGCGGTTAAACATAATCAGGGATTCTTGATTCACCGGGTAGCTGCAAAAATGAAATAAAACAAATACTCTGACTAATGCAGCAGGGCTGAAGATAAAGGGTGAACAGTTACAAAGCTGAAGCAGTGCTAAGACAAAATGATGTTGTTATTTTCTCTCATATTGCTCTAAAGTTTAAAAGGTATCAACTTAATAGAAGAAAGTAAAATGAAAAAAGGTAGACTGAAAATCGCACACACAGACACCTAGGCGCCAACCGATGTGGGATATTTGGGGTCGATATCGATATTGGGGAGAGAAAAAAATCAGATACTGATATATTTCTTAGATCTATGTTCGATCTGTAGACATAGATCGATATACTCATAATGCAGTTATCAAACACTTGTGGAAAGATGTACAGTATAACGTAGAATAGCTGTTCTCTCAAATAGAAAATAACAGGTCATGTATGTGCGTCACTGCTGGACAGTCTGGAGGGTGATAATGCTTGTTGTAATCCATATAGCGCCCTCTGCTGGTGACAGACAGAAAAAGAACTGCTCGTGTAATACAACGACACTCAAATGAAATGCTATTTTATAAATCTATTGATATCGGTGCATCATGGGCTGGCCGATGTTATCGGCTGATATGAATCGGTCGGGCCGTAATACTACACATATGAAGCTGCGGTCAGTCAGACATTACACGTGAGAGCAATAGAGACAGGAATATGATCTTCATTTCAAAATAAAGCGCTCGTTTAAAGTGAGAGAGTACTTCAGAGTCTTCAGCTCTTGGTGTTGAAAGCTGTCAGAGGTAGAGTAACTGTGTGTGTTTCTGTGACTGACAGCTCCAAGGGAAAGCTTTGCAGCTCCCATGTCTGAAACCCTGTGCCCCCCCCCACCCCCCCCCCCACCCGAGGTGGCACCCGGCACAAGGTGTCACGGATGTGAGAAGTAATTGAAAATTCTACCAGGGGGAGCAGATGGCAGCACGCGCTGCGGCAGTAGTTGTTCATCCTGAATGATGCAAACATAATACACAGGGTGTGAGAGACACTATACTCCCCTGTGACGACAGCACGAGAGGCTGCCGGGTGGGGGGGGGGGGCAACTCGTCCTGAACTAATTGTGAAATTGTGCACGTAAGCAGAAGCTTTGGACAAGGGGACAGGGGTGAGAAGGGGGTCCAGGGGTGGGTGGGGGGGGGGGAGAGAGGAGGAGGAGGATGGCGGGTGGCTGGTGGTCGTGGCAGCCTCTGGGCGGGAGCAGTTGTAAGTTTACCCACCGAGCTGCATTCTGGCGTCTCACGTTGCTGCCTGCTCACAAAAATGGCACCAAATGCTTCTCCCTGTGAAATTCCATGCTAGCCTTTAGGTGAAGAAGCCACCCCCGCCCCATACCTCCCTTCAATTCATGTGTTGCCTTCAGGAACATTCCCGCAGCAGTTATTCGAAGCAGAGAGGAAAGAGAGGCAGAAACGGGCTGAGACGCCACAACAGTGGCCGGTCGAGTGCTGCTGACTTGACTGCCATTAAGATCCACACAGCTGTGCAGAGAGCAGCTGTAGACCAGAGACCAGAGAGAGAGAGAGAGAGAGAGAGAGAGGACAGAAATAGTCTTTCTAGACAGGGCCACACACTGAATCCATTCACAGCGTCATAATAACGCTGATTTAGGCCCTCTCTGTCTGCAGCTTGTGATATCACAGTGCACGGTCGAGCCTCTGTATCATCTGATCCCTGCACAACTGCTTAAGCACTTAAATCATCTGAATCTCACAGCAACGCCCTCCTCAGCTCTGATAAACCACAAGCACTTTAAAGCCAGTATTAAGGTCCTAACATTTCTTCCACATCATGGACCTGTTGTTGTTGTTGTTTTTTTACAGGATATTCACAAGACCAATATTCATATGATGCAGACAAACGAGATGAGAGGAAGCAAAGACGTTTCTGAAGGGCTGAAATTATTCCATCATTAATCATTTCTCTGCTACTGTACTCACCCTTAGAGAGACAAATCAAGTGATCTAAATGTATTTCTTAGGCTTTGGGAAATTGTGAATTTCTGTATTTTTTATTTTGTTATTCTCCAGGTAAAAGGAGTGAATCAGTAAATTGCGAAAAAAGCTTCAAAATGACAAACACTGTTTATATGTCAGTACTTTATTTGAGCTAAATAGTTTGTAAATAAATGTGTTTGTTGACATCAAATCTGATTCTATGGAGAATTCTAAAACATGTTGACATTTCCAGCAGAGCTCTGTGGTTGGTCTCTTAACTGCTGGTGACGCAGAAACTCCTCTGGTTTCACGTTTGACCTTGTGTCCCCAAGTTTACGAATGCGTCTCATGCTTTTTCTGACAGCAGAAAGTGAATTTATGTCGGAGGGTTACCGACGTACAAAATGTCCCGGTGGAATGCTGCAGGGAATTTGTATTTCACTTTCAGTGAGGAAGTAATGACCTATAGCAATATACTGTCACTTTGAACCAGACATAAGAGCGTCTTTCTTTTTATTTGTTGGTTTCTAAACTGTGCTTCTACTTTCATGTGGCCTAAATATCTCATTATTCAAGTGCTGTGTGTGTGTGTGTGTGTGTGTGTGTGTGTGTGTGTGTGTGTGTGTGTGTGTGTGTGTGTGTGTGTGTGTGTGTGTGTGTGTGTGTGTGTGTGTGTGTGTGTGTGTGTGTGTGTGTGTGTGTGTGTGTGTGTGTGTTGTGTGTGTGTGTGTGTGTGTGTGTGTGTGTGTGTGTGTGTGTGTGGTGTGTGTGTGTGTGTGTGTGTGTGTGTGTGTGTGTGTGTTGTGTGTGTGTGTGTGTGTGTGTGTGTGTGTGTGTGTGTGTGTGTGTGTGTGTGTGTGTGTGTGTGTGTGTGTGTGTGTGTGTGTGTGTGTGTGTGTGTGTGTGTGTGTGTGTGTGTGTGTGTGTGTGTGTGTGTGTGTGTGTGTGTGTGTAAACAGGATAAGGTGGCCAACACATGGTGCAGCTTGAACATCCTGATAAAGATCAGATCCATTTTGTCCAGTGACACTCAGATCTGCCTCAGGTAATCTCTCTCTCTCTCTCTCTCTCTCTCTCTCTCTCTCTCTAAAACAAGCTTTCACTATTTACTCCTTATCTTTCATCCCTCTCACTCTTTTTCTGTTTTATCATTCTGTGTTTTTCTTTCTTCTTCTTTGATTTAGTCAATCACTTTTCTGCTCCTCTGGGAAGTACGTTGTATCAAATTTAATTTGTCTTAAAGGTTCAGTATAAATGTTTGATTTGGTGATTTGAGGTTTTACTTGAAAAATCCCTGCAAAGACACTGAAGGTCCAATATTAGAAGATTTTGCAATTCATTTTCTTAACTAAATCAACCAAATGGTTTATTGATAATAAATTTGATACTTTATTTTGAACCGAAAATTAAAATCAGACAACGAAAAAAAGAGACAGTTTCCGAAAAGGAGTAGGAAGAAGTAAAACTTTTATATCCCTACTTCTTTGTCACATTTCTTCTTTTAGTATATTATTCCAAAAATGCTCACAATTATTGACGACTAATAAACAAACATATCCTCGGTTTGTTTTCCATCTAAAATAAATAAACAACAACCCCTGTGTATTTACAATCCTAATATCCACCCAGTGTTACAAAATATATAGGATTACCCCTAATACATTACTACTCTTCTCCTACTCTTCTTTATAATTTTAGATTCTGATTTCATCCCATCCAATAAAGCAGCTTAAAGAAACAAAGAGTCAAACGAGGACACAGTAAAAACTGAGCAGTGGGCCAAGGACTAACTATCTGCCCACTTCTCTTTGGAGCATCCCTGGAAGTTCATTGATCAGTTCCAATGACCAGAAGCTCCCAACCAGTCGATTCACCAGCTGTGTCATGGTGGACACTGCTTAAATAACCCTGCATGCTAAATTTAGGAGTCCAGTGTTTGCAGCATGGACACGTTTCTGCTAGTCTGTTAAGTCCGGGGATCAACTGGGACTTCTTTGACCGTCGTGCATTTGGACAAATGAAAAAGGCACTTGTGTTTTTTGGCGCAGTGGGTGGATTGCTAAACGTGCCGGTGTGGGTGTACTGTTTGTGTTTAATGAATCAGCTGTGAGAAGTTATCCTGACCATGAAACCCTGCCCAACACATGCGTTACAACACCCCCCCCCTCCCCCACCCCCAACCCCCCTCCCCACACACACATTTTATCAAGACATATTTATTTACTGGTTATTGTCTTGATCGATGTCTTTGGGTGGAACTACAGACATATTTCTGCCCTCACACCCTGAACTAAATCGCTGCCTGACCTCTCAGCACATTCACACTGACAAATAGTTTCTCTCTTCCGGGGGCCTCCACCCCCTGAGCAGGTGACAATTGAAGGGTTAAAATAATGCCTGCTCACCCTAAGAAGGGGGGTTGTTTTTGTTTAAGTTCCTACATAGCATGGGGACATCCACAGGCAGATGGTTTTATCTTATTGATCCTCAGCATTTCACATTCAAATCAGATCATCAAATCAGTGCCAACAGTTGAATCCTGCTTTGTTGTTTCTGTATTTATTTATTTTTTTTGTCCTGTCAAACTTTGCAGACTGCTCCTCAGTGTTCACATGAAACAGTGTCATTCCTGGAATTATGTGCAAATGCAATCATTCACATGGCCTACCAAATTGATTTAACACTCAAAATGAGTTCTCCTCGCTGCAGTGACTCTACTCTCCCACGGTGGATTTTCTTTGTGCATGTACTGTATGTGTTTTTACAGCGCAGATGTGTGATAATCTGACTCGTAAGTATTTATTTTTTTTCAGTGCTGCCTGCACACTCCTTGCAGTCCTACCGTCCTGTGTCAGACTTCTGACAAAGCCAACCTTCTGGCAGTTTAAACTGGCCTTGGTAAGTGAGCAGATCTTCCTCCCCTTACAGAGATGAAGCCTGTTTATTCACCAATCTGTTTTGGTATCAAATATCAGTCTTTTAAAAACTTGACAAAGTTAAAAACGTTTTGCATTCCAATGTTTTGTCTGAAATACCAAATCAATTAAATATAGAATATATGTAATATTGTGTTTTCGTTGCCTCTTTATAGATCATTTATTTCCCTCACTGTAGTCATTCAGAAACATATGTTTACTTGTTTATCATAATACATTTTATCTAAAGACGCCTTTCAAAACACTCAAGGTCACCTGACAAAGCAGAGATATAAAAAAACTACAAATTGGTAACAGTAAAAAAAAGGTGCAAAGGTAAAGCAGAGCGAGGTTATGGATGGCCTTTAAAGGTGAGGAGCAGAATCTTTGAAGTTGATGCGATATTTAACCGGCAGCCAATGACGCTGCTGTAGGACAGGGGGTGATGTGATTGACAGAGGGCGTTCTGGATGCGAGCAGCAGAGTTCTAATCTCAATGTCACTTTTCAGGTCAATTCATCTCTGGCCTTTTTCCTCTTCTCCTATCAAGTCCACGAGAAGTCCATCCTCTTGGTTGCCTTGTAAGTACAGATTTAATTCCAGTAATGTCCCACTGGATGATTGATCAAATGTAACAGCAGCACAATACATAAAAAAACAAATATTCAATGGTAAAGATTGACTTCAATCTGGATTTATGTACAGCAGAGTGAGTTTAGAAGAACGTGTGCACTCTGTAACTGTAACACTATTCTCCTACTCTTCTCACCAAGTTAAAAAGGAGAAATCTATCCAAGTACCATTTTGCTTACTGAGAATTTGCTTGCACCCCTGACATCATATTCTCAGCTGCACAAGCAGAAAAAAAGAGCTTTCTACTGACAAGATTTAAACCCAGTGTGTGTCTTGCTGGTCATATTTAACGGGGTGGAAAAAAAAGTATTTCTACAAATGCATGCATGTCACAGTCATTACCATTAACGTCCATATGTTTAAAGCTGTGATGGCTGAGAGAGAAGTCGAGCATAGATTTGACAGCGAGGGATTTGGTTCCTAGATCTGGGCTCATCTATTAATCTAGATTAGGGTAGATTGTTGCTTTATTAACTATTGAGTTCTATCTCCCACCTGTCCCCCTGAATCAATCAGTAATGCATGTCCAGGGATTAGGAAAGAATGGCAGGCGGCAGCTCGGGGCGTTGTTTGCGCAGGATCAATTATTGGGCTGTAACAGGATCGCCAAAGAGCACTGGCTGTAATTATGGGCTCAGGGAGCGGCGGAAAGTGCCCACCTCGGAGCACAGTGTACGACTAGCACCGGCTAGCGATGACGCAGGAAACCAGGTTCAATGAACAACAGGCTTTCACTGCACACAGACACAGACACACACACACACACACACACACACACACACGTGTTTATGCACTATAACATCGTGATTTCTACACGTGGACTTCTTGGCAAATGATCAAAGGTCCAAATCTTCAAAATTGTAAACTCAATTCCCAGTAAAAGTTGGACTTTTACTAGCAATTATTAAAAAAAATATATTTGGTACAACAAACACTTGACTGTCTTGTGAGGGACTGTTAATAATGGATTCATGTGGTTGTCCTTTTCAATTACAATGAACGCATGACATAATTACCCCACCCAACATGTCCTCACTCCCTGTTAGACAGTGAAATGATGTTTAATTGTACTAATTGTAGTTTGTGTTGAACAGTAAGTGTGATATGTTCTAGGCCTGCCCTCCTCCTGCTGAACGACCTCCCCTTGATGGTGATTTGGCTCCTGCTGGCCTCGACTTTCAGGTAAGACCTTGGATCAGTAACTAAACAAAGGTCATAGATGGCCTCTATTTCTTTTATAAAACAGAGTTGGAAATGATTTTGGATAAATATGCGGATTATATTATTGACCAGAGGAAACTAAGCAAAAAAGTACAACTTGCACATCTGTATCAATATTAAACGATTGTTTGCAGCTGGTTAGCTTAGCATTGAAACTGTATGTGAGGTCATTTCTCGCCCTATTTCTTTTCTTTTTGAAGAAAAGTTTGAATTCTTTGCAGAGAAACATGTTTGTTTTTTTAACCCAGAGCTAATGAGAGGATAATACGACTCTTATGACGCAATCTGTGAAGCTAACAGCTTGTTGGCTTAACATTACAACTGGAAACTGTGAGAGCTAGCTAGGCTCATTCCAGATGTTAAAGACATCCACCTATCAGCTTTAAGCTCCATTTTTGATCTATATAAAAAAAGCAAGAGTGTTAACAATACGTAATGGGTGGCACAACATATTTTTAAATGTATAAATAAAGCAAAAGTACTCAATCAGTTCATTGGAAATGAAGGGTTTTCTTGCATACTTAAGCCTGGCGTACACTGTACGGTTGTAGAACAGTCCTGGTGGAATGTCGACTCACACTGTACGACTGAATCGTTTACGACACACGACCAAAGCTCATGATTTATGTGCTCACACTGTATGACCCGATTGTCGGACATGACCTGAGAGCTCACACTGTACAAGTTAAATCGGGACGGTGCATTCATAATTTTCAAAAGAAAACTCCCACAGACGGGGGATTTCAGATGTCTCATATGCACGGCTCAACTGGGCTACACACACACCATGCTCTCTCTCTCTCTCTCTCTTTCTCACTCACTCAAATCATGTGTGCACACAATCTGCATCACCATTAATAAACACAAGCTATAGCAGCTAAATCGTATATTCCCTGTCACCTGGAGGTTCCGCAGATATTTCTGCCACAGTTACTTTTATGATGCGAGGGGGAAGACGGATTAAAAAAACATGCCTGCTGTTGCCACGGTGATTTCAGACGCTGCCTGTCAGTTTGTGCAGCGATAATCATGGGGGGGGGAGGGTTAGAGTCCTGGAGTCGGGCAATCGGCTTGTGGTTACGCTCACACTGTGCGATCGTATGACCAAACATGTCAGAAATTCATCCGACTGATCGGGAGCAGCTGCCTGGATGGTAAGCAGTAGACACACCTCAGTGTACACTGCATGACTGATGATGTGTGATTGGGCTGAATGTCGCCCGACTTCAAAATGAGTCGTACCACTCAAGAATTGGGTCTAAATCAGGCAGATATGCTACAGTGTGTGCCGGCTTGACCCAAGTTTCTGAGACTGCAACAAAAAAGCTGAGCTGCTTTTTTTTTTTCTGTCTTTACAGATATGATTTTTTATCAAACAAATATAGACTGGCTTTTCTTCTAAATAAACACAAGATACGTGTGCACTAATAAAAGGAAAAAGCGCTCAGTGAAGAAACCCCGAGTCCCAATTATGCCCCTTTGCTCTACGGATAAATTACATAACCTGGCCCTTAAGTTGCCACCGCAACCAAAACAGCATTGCCACAATCAACAGACCCAGATTTTGTAGATTCAAGCTAGCCAGATAGTAACAACGCCGATACTACCTACCCTACCACATGGCCCCTATTGGCCCCAACAACTCAACCATGTAGTCTGATATATGCAGCAAGAGCCAGGACATCTCCAGGGTTGTCAAATGGGAACCTTCCATCACCGGTATTTTGACCAATTAGTCCTGTGACACCTCAGAAGGGCTGGACAATGTCCTCTGATATCCCTGAGCCACCTCCCTCTATGCCAGCTCTTAATGCCCACCATACTCACATGGTGTTGACTGGATGATTTAGACAGTTACCACCATAGTAAAGAACTGTTCACTGTACGCACAGTAGGTAGAGTGAAACTAGTCAAGAAGTAACTTATCAGGCTTTTAACAAATTTAGTGTGGGATAAAATTCTACAAATTGTTAATTTGGAGCCCATATGAGACAGAAGGCCTGTTCCATGTAATTAGAAAAAGGGATTTTGGAAGTTTTGCCTTACTTTGACTGGTATATTCCAGTGTTGGGACTCAATCCCTTGATCTGTGGGGGTGATGGACAATTTTTTGGGGGTCTTTTGGTGTAGCCAGGGATTAGCCATAGATAATTTCATACAGGTATTGTATTAGACAATGAAAGCTACACAGACAGACATTTTAGAGACACTTAGCTTACTTTGTAGATTGTTGCTGCTGTTACAGTCCATTGTATCATGTACCATTAATTCTACCAATGTCTTGTGGCTGAAGTGTTGCTTTAAGAAAGAAACACACATGGTGCCTGTCCTGGTTGCAAATTGGCATGACTCCAATATCAATAGTTTGAATCCATAATTTTTTGCCTTGTAAAACCTTTTTTTCCAATTTAGCGAACCATAAAAACAAGAAACGCTTAATAACCATCCCTGAAGCTAAATGAGTCTATGACACGGGTTGAGCTGAGGACCATGAATGGAAAAGACAAGTAGTGCTTGCAAATGCTCTGTCTAACTTTCACCAGCTGTTGTTAAATTCTTCCGGCAGCACTAATTGTTGTGCGTGTGGTTTAGTATAAGGATATCTGGGGATTACATGGCATAGTCCGCGTGCCTGCTGTCTAAGTGTGCGTTGTGTAGGGACAGGAGGTCATTCTGTAGCTGACTCTCAGTACAGTCTATCATGAACTCTAACATTATCTACATCCTCTAGGCTGCCATTTGAAAAAAAAATACATCTTTTGTTTGCATAATTGGCCTAATGGATGCTCAACCATTGCAATTTCAAGAGGACAGAATGCAGTCAGTATTTTTTAACAGACGAAGTATGTATTTCAAATTGTTCACCATTTATCTGCTGAATGGAGCTTTTCTGTCAGAATAAAAACGAGAATGAGGGTTTTGTTGTCAGTGCACAGGTTTTTACAAGCCAGGGTGATGTGCGACTTACTATGAGTCAACTGTTGTTCTTGTCCATGCCCCCTCAGCTAAACTAAGATAAGCTTGGCATGAATGTCAGAGTAAACTTTCCCTCTGGGATGGTCTGCGTGTGCAGGCCTGTTGCATAAGAAGCTATGTGGTTTACTGTTGCCCTTTTCTCAACAAACATGATACTGAACTTAATGATGTAATGTTGGATATACATTTAAAAATATCATCCTCGTCATCATGCTTTGTATATTTTCCATCGAACAAGTGCACCATAGCTAGACTTTGCACGTAAAGGGCTTCATCTGTTTGCAGTTCTCTCTCACTCATTTTTAGAGACATTGTATGTAGACTTGTTTGGGGTTATTAATACTTTTTTATTTCACTAATAAACACATCAGCCAAATTGCCTGAAATTTAAACTGTAAAGCATGGACTGCAAATGAAACGCTGTCGTTGCAAAAAGCTCCTAAAACCTACAGGGGGAAATTCTTCTGGTTGCAAAGAGAAGTTAAGTGTTATGATTCAAGACAGAAAACCAAGACTCCTTCCCACTTGAATTATTACCCCAGGAAATATTTTCCTCATTAGTTTCTTATGTTAAATGGATGGTAGATGGACTTACTTTCTAGCCTTCTCACCACTCAAAGCGCTTTTACACCGCATGTCACGCTAAACATAGCATGTAAGCGATTATGGGCCATCCAGCATTTGATGTCTTCCAGGCACTGTGTAAGAGAATTGAAGTCTGATTGATTTTTTGGGTTTATGGGTAGGTATAGTTTGGTATCATCTGCGTAACAGTGATAAGAAATGTTGTGCTTTTCCATGATTTTTCCAAGCGGGAACATGTAAATAGAGAAAAGAATAGGGCCTAGGATGGAGCCTTGAGGGACCCTGCAGGACAGATTGGCTGTGGAGGAAGAGGAATTGCCTATGTTCACTGAGAATGTTCTATTTTTTAAATAGGAGATGAACCAATTCAGGGCAGAGCCTCCAACACCAAACGTATGCTGAAGGCGATCAATTATATTGGCGTGATCGACGGTATCAAAAGCGGCACTCAAGTCCAATAAAACCAGGACAGCACAGTTTCCAGAATCGACTGTGTGGAGGAGATCATTATGGACTTTTAGGCGTACTCAGTACTGTGAGCTACCCTGAAACCTGACTGAAATTTATCAAGTATATTATTTTGGTGAAGGTAGGGCAAAAGTTTGTGCAGAACAACCTTTTCTAGTATTTTGGAGAGCAAAGGTAGTTTTGAGATGGGTCGGTAATTACAAAGCAGTAATGGGTCCAGGTTTGGTTTCTTTAACAGAGGCTGCACCACAGCATGTTTAAGACAGGATGGGACTTTGCCGAATGCCAAGGAGCTGTTTACAATTGAGAGGATACTTGGCCCAATGGAGTCCAAGGCCTCCTTAACAAGACGAGTAGGAACTATGTCATGCGGGCAGGTTGTAGATTTCATGTTAAAAACAGTTTCTTTAAGTGAGGCTAGGGAGATGGGCTCAAACCAGTTAAACTGGGCAGAGCGAATAAGAAAGACAGAAACATCCATCGTTGGTACTTGAATGCTGTTTCGAATGCTTATAACTTTACCAGTGAAGAACTTCAAGAAGTCGTCACATTTACTTAACGGCACACCTTGGGTGATTCTGGGAGACGGACAGATGAGAGAATTTATGGTACTAAAGAGGACCTTAGGGTTATGGTAGTTCTTTGAAATAAAGTCAGAGAAATGTTTTGCTCTTGCTGGCTTAACTGCTTGCTGGTACCTTAACAGCTGGTCCTTTAAAATATCATACGAAATCTGGAGCTTATCCTGCTTCCATTTCCGCTCGGCTTTACAGCAATCGCTCCTTAAAGCTCTAGTTGTGTCAGTGAGCCAAAGTTGAGATTTTGGTTTAGGTTTTTTATTTAAATGGAGCAATGGCCTCTAGAATGAAGGAGCAGGTGGAATTATATAAGGTAGTGAGTTCCTCTGTGCTGAGCTCAGGAGGTGAGGCCTCAATGATGTGAATGTTTGGGGCAGCTATGAGGGCAGCTGAAAAAATACTAGCGGTAGAGGAGATAATGTGGCGAGAGCAGCGAAAAGGAAGGAGAACGGTTGACTGAGAAACAGGTCGAGAAACATTAAACATAGTTACACTGTGATCTGAGAGGTGAGGGTCAATTATTTCCATATTAAAAACAGGACAACCAGTTGTCAAAACTAAATCAAGTGTGTGCCCAAGTTTATGGGTGGGACCAGTTACATGCTGTGTGAAATTAAAAGATTCAATTAGATTAAGAAATTCACCAACCAGTGGTTTGGAAGGACAGCACACATGGATATTAAAATCACCAAGAATCAGCACGCTGTCATATTTCGACATTATCTGAGATAAGAGGTCTGCCAATTGAGGAATAAAGTTGTTATCAGGTTTAGGAGGGCAATATATATCAAGATAATTAACAAAGGGTGTGCCGTCCATACTTGTGGAGAACCTGTGCTTCAAAACTGGAGAAACGACCCAGCGGTAGGCAGGTGCAGTTAAAGGTGTTTCTAAAAACGACTGCAAGATGCCCGCCCCATCCGGAGGGTCTTGGCATGTTAAAGAAGGCACAGTCGGGAGGAGAAAGTTCAATGAGTGGACTAACCTCATCAGAGTTCATCCAGGTTTCTGTTACTAGCAGGAAGTCTAATGCTTGGGAGGTGAAGAAGTCATTGAGGATGAAAGTCTTATTTGACAGTGATCTTGCATTGAACAGGGCCAGTTTTACCGGGGTGGCAGATCTGTTATCCACTGACTGTACCCAGGGCAGTGTGCGGAGATTACTAAAGTTCACACCGCCTTGAGTAACATCGGTGAGGGATTGTGTTGTTGGGTCACAGTGAAGCCTTTGTGAGATTCTCACGTGAACCTTGATCGAGATCGACAGAGGCGTGAGGTGGAGATGTGGAGCTGCGAAGAGAGGAACAGGGTCCTAGCGAGCTTCATTCTCTAATATTTTTGTATCTATATTAGCCTTAATCCAGGGATTGGCCACCTTTGATAAACAAGGTATTACCAGAGTGTTGTGACAACTAGGAAAGAGGCGTAATGATGCATATCTGACCTGTCAACCAGTTATACTCACAACTGCTCCCAAAAGAACAAAATGCAAATGACTTAAATGCTAATCTTAAACTCAAGGCTTCTAAACTGAATTCACAAGCATCCAAGAGGTTTTATCCACTTCTTCTATACGAGCTGTAAATTAACCCCTGTTCTTGTCCTTATCCTTCTGTACAGCATGCTGCCTCTGTTACTAAAGGACGGCCTGCTGCTGCCCTATGTGGTGACATCACTGGCCTTCCTCTTCTTCAGCATCTATCTACTGTCTGCACTGGAGCACTGTTCAGAGGAAGAACTGAGACTGGGAGCCTACCACAAGCTGCTGTTCTTCCTACCCAGACTGGACCTGGCTGGTATTGTAAGATGGAAGGTTAGTGAGGGCAGGAACTTCAAGCCTGTGTTTAATTTCCTCTGGCAGATGGTTCAAACATTTTCCATCCAGCCTGTCTCAGCTTCTAGGTTGGATCCTAGGGACTTTTGAGAAATTGATTATATGAACTGCAAGGTTCCAGACCATTCTGAATTTGTAAATGGGGCTGTGACGTTGTATCATAACAATATGAAGCATTGATCTTGCCATTTGGAGGTCAAAGACTATGACACAACTTGACTTGTTTTTGTACAGCTAGATTATGGAACGCCTCGATAACTGCACAAAAGGCCTAGGATATGTACGTAAACGAATGCACCACAAACCAATTCCTTGCCTCGGCGTGGAAACAGTAGCCTCAACAGAAAGTTTAACTGTTCGATCAAGGGGTTATTGTGTGTGTCACCAGCTGGGCTGGTGTCGAAAGAGCAAAGAAAATCAGATGATTACGTCATGCCTGCAAACAAAAGGATCTACAAGGCCAGCTGAGTGTGTGTTTCTATACACACTGTGCTTCCGCAACAACCCAGGCTCACAGACTTGGACCCCAATGTATGAATGTACGAAGACGTAATGATGGCGTGGAGAATCGTTTGGACACAGTTATGGCTGATATGCTGGTTAGCAGAATAGTCCTATTATTCTTAACCAATAATATGCATATTTTTCACACACTAGAAGCTGATTGGTACTTTGGGCTTTTATTACCCAAGCTCAGGAAAACGGAATCCGTATCTGAAAGGGAATAATGGTTTCAGACATCTCTGATTAAAACCAGGCTTCATTGTGTTTGTTTTTTAGTTAAGATGGGTTACATTCCGTATAGTATATAGTCCATTTCTTCCAGACCTTTATAACATTTTAAACTTAGAGACAAGGTTGGTCTCTCCATGCAGTGTATTTCATTGAATATTGCTAACCAATCATCCTTTAATGGTGGGTTTACCTGCAGCCACTTCCGTGTGATGGCTTTCTTAGTAACAACCAGAAGGACTTATAGTAATATTTATCGTGTGACATGAGATTGTCCGGGATTTTACCCAGGTACAGTATGATAAAAGACACTCTATTTTTTTTAAACTTTCTGTTGAACTATTTTGAGAATGCATTTGTGTATTTATACACCCTGCCAACTCAATAAAAAGTTGTTCACAAAAAAGACCAAAAAAAAAAAACTGAACCTCAAACCTTCTGATTCTACAAACAATACAACACAATACACTTTTGTTTTGTCTTGGATTTCAAATGCTACACACTTTCAGATGCCTCATCAGTAGAATCAATACATAAAAACAAACACAGCTTTAAGATTAGAGTCACTTTGAAGTGAATTGAGAAGTGAGAGTGAATTTTTTTTTTTTTTTTTAGTTGGCTTTTTGTGCCTTTTATTTGAGAGATAGGACAGTGGATAGGGTCAGAAATGGGGGAGAGAGGAGTGTGGAATGACATGCAGGAAAGAAGCCACAGGTCGGATTTGAACCTGGGCCACCTGCTTGGAAGACCACAGCTTCCACACATGGGGCGCACGCACTAACCACTGCGCCACCAGCGCCCCATTGCAGAGTGCATTTTGATTCCATATAATTACATATTTCCTGTAAAGACAGATCACAAGCAATGACTTTTTTAGCCGCGTCAGCTATGTAATAGTGTGACATCTTAGCAGCCCAACACAGTGTAGCCCGCTATTAATTAAGTTAAACGCTCAAGAAGAACAGGGACACAGTAAACGAGGGCCCCTTTGGGTCGGATCGGTATCCTTGGTCCCCCAACAGAAGGGTACCGAAAAAGTAGGACGGTACGGATCCCTTATTTTGGTAACATTCCCAACTTTTGACGGTGGAAACACCAATAAATGGTACCGTACTGAACATGGCAGACTCAAAGCTACAAGATTATATACAGCAAGGGTTCCCAAACTTTTCGGCCAGTGACCCCTAAAATAAGGTGCTAGAGACTGGGGAACCAAACTGTCCATGGAGGTGGTTAAAACATTTAACGCTGGCAGAGTAATAGGCTAATTTTATTTAAGTAATTTATTGTAATAAATGCTAGAAGCAGAACATAATTAATCTCTTGAACTACTGTATTTTATTAGATATTTTCACAATAATGGTTAAAATATTCAATTTTCAGGGATTTTTCATTTGCATATGATTTTGAAAGGAATCTCACGACCCCCTCTCAATGTCTTGCGACCCCCACTTTGGGAACCACTGATATACAGTATATGAAAATAGTAGTATTTCTGTCGTTGATTGAGATACTGGCACATATATTTTACCAAAGATATATCTAGCACTTTGAGATTTTTTTGTAAAGTGCGTTATAAATTAAATGTATTATTATTATTATATTATTATTACCAAATATGTGTTAAAAAACTAAATGATTTCACAGGAACTTTAAAGCATGCTCTCTTTGTGCTTCTAATAATGCATTTAGTCGATGAACAGTAATCAAAGAAGTGATACTGCTTCTTGATAGCGTTAGAAGTGCATGCCTGCTTTTGTATATGGGGGAAGGGCGGATGTGTAGCTGATGTATTTGTAATAAGAAGGGTGCTGATTTCAGGACCCCAGGGTGGCCTGGACTTTGAAAGTGGCACTAGACCTAAATTGCAACCGTGTGAGAAGATATACCCAACTGTATAAATAAAGATCATGTGCCGCTGTAAGCTGTGTAAGCTGTCCGGGGATGAAAGCCGCTGCCAGGCAAAGAATTATTTATCACTTATTTAAGTTTCCACAGCGTCTGAAGTGGCTGCACCGCCGGCCCCTTAGCGACAGGAGCACTGCTAGGGTGTCAGAGATTAAGAGAAGGTGTCTTTTTATAGCATGTGTCATTAACACAGGTTTGCCTACATATATTTATTTACACAAGCAGCATAAATAGCAGGCCCTGATGATGGCGATAAGGTTTCATGGGTTTGGGGGTGGCGAGGCGTGTGTGGGTACGAGGTGTTTCCTCCATCTTACTCGCTGACTTTTCTCTGGGTCATAAAGCCCAACTGGACGTGAAAGATCTCACTGCCACTTGTGTTTGCGACTCTGTTACAAAGCAAAAAAGTCGCTATGGAGACCTGGATTCAAACAGGCCATTCAGTGTTATACTACGAGCCTCCATCTCTCCTTTATAGCATCTCTGTAACGATCAATATGATGTGAGACAACCAGCGGTTAACAACTTTGGTTTGAGAGCTTCTTCAAATCATTCATTTGTTTGATCTCATAGTTACACTGCAAATGAATTGACAACAGTTTGTTCTCAGCCTGAGGTGCCAAGGCTTGTTATTATTTTCTAAGTAGAACGTTCCGCTTTGGATGATCAGTTCTGTAATAATCAGAGCTACATGAAGGGGGAGTTTCCACAATTTGAAAATATCATCAAATCAAGTCTACAAAATAGGCAATACTTGCAAAATGCTGAATCTTAAGCTAAACAAATAAAATGTTGCTAAATATCTTCAGGTTCAGGTTACTTTATTTGTTACCCGTAGGTAAATTTGGTTGCAGCGTTGCAAGCGAGAGTCACTTAATACAACACAGAGAATACATAAAACATACAAAGTGCAAATGTTTGTCCCTCAAGGTGATTGCCACCATCTTTTAAACTATAAAAAAAAATAATTTGTAACACAATGTTTTTTCTGTTGTTTTCTGTTGTTTTCCCTCTCCACGCCCAAGCTCTGAAAAAAAAAAAAGTAAACATCATGATGCCATCAGTGAGCAGAGTTGTGATTAAGAAAGCCTAAGTCACAAATTTGATATCACTTTTCAGAAACAGATTTTTCCCAATGGATCTTGATGCCTTTAGAAAAAAAACAAAAAACTTTTCCCCGCTAAGAATGGCAAGTTACATACAACAGCCCAACGAAGGGCTGAAAGCACAGGGGCGATGTGGGAGCGACGGCTGTTTCGTTGGTAATCATCTAGCAGCCGCACCTTGGACTAACTGTAAACAGATTGGAGATGACTGACTGAGGCATGTGCAGAGAGAATTACAATAAAATAGTGAAATGTGTTTAAAATCTTAAGAGAAAGTTAACCAGTGGACTTTGGGTAAAGACCCAAAAACTACAAGATGCTTGGTCTGTTCTTCTGCATAGTTCTTAAGTAGAACCCACCAATAAGCTACTTTGGTTCAGCTTACTTGCAGCAGTCCTGTATAAATTCAACATACTATCATACTACATTGTGTCTCGTTTGAAATAACTACCTTACCCTCTGTTTTGTCTGTCTATGTTGCAGTTCTACATCAGCATAGCAGTCATGGTCGGCCTGAGCTTCGTGACTGTAGCGATGGTTCCTCCGCCACATCTACCCGACCTGTTTCCTGTGCTGGTCTCTGTTACCTCATTCTCACACTTCTTTGGGACATTTTTATATTTCAACATCGTCCAGTTCAGTGAGCCGCCCAGCAGAAAGACCCAGAAGAAGACCAATTAAAATGGAGCCAAAGTTAGCGATACTGGCTGGAAACTTTTTCACCACGGGGAATGTCTGAAGGTTGTCACTTCCATCTGGATCACCACAGGCTGCAATGATGAGTCCACATGTCAGGAAAAATGTTAAGCAACTAAATTACTTGTTAAAGAATATTTTCAAGCAAAAAAAACACACCAACTTGATGGTACCAGGTTCTTAAATATGGGCGTTCTCTGCTTTATCTCTCCCTGCATTACATCAGGTCAATAGGGACGTTGAACTAGACAAAAAAAAATTCTGAGATTTGATACAATTACAGTTTTCTCTCCTTTTGTTGCTTAAATAGCTGTAAATGGAAACATTTAGAGCAACTCAGAGGATGTGGCATCAAATGAAAGGAAAGAATGGTAGTAATTCTCTAGTTTGGACCAAATTGATTTTTGAAATCACTCATCTGTTACTAAAATTCAATTAAGAGCTCTAAATGTACCACCGTCTCATAACCACATGACTTCCTTCATGTCAAACATTCCTCTTTACTGCAATTATAGTTTTGCTGGTCCCAATGATTCTCCACTCACACTTCAAACTACACCGACTCTGACATATTTCACAGGGACAAATCAGCAGAGTGCTGCCTTCTCATTTGACTTTAGACACAGTCCTCTCTGTGCCTGTAAGCTCAGGCGCCAGGTGGTGCCAACAATAAAAAGATCACCTGCTGTAATGTTCAGTTAATGTTAAGAGCACGGGGACATGAGTAGATGAAACGTTTTGTTAACTTTGAAAGTCATAGTTTGAAGGTGGTGCTGGAGTCAAAGAAACTGTAAGGTGTTCCTGTTATTTTGTCTGTCCTCTGTACCTCTTTCAGGGTTTTTTAATTAAACGCCTCCCTGATGGGACTGGACCCAGGTCCAGCAGCAACGGTTTATCATCATCTATCCATGTGAACTTTTTGTAAGGTTTTCTAAGGTATCTTTTTTTTATCCATTGTTGAAGTAATTTTGTACAAACTTGTGAAAATAAATAAAAAATCCCAATGACCTAAAGTGAACGTGGTTTTAATGCGACATTGTAAAATGATTAGACTTTGAGCAGCTTCACATAAACTGTCTACATTTACCAAGTATCCTCACTAAATCAGCCCTAACAGTCTGCCATGGACAGAGCCAATAATTGGACAGAAATTATATCTTTCAAAGCTTTTACTCAACATCATTAAATATTCATTACCAGTCCTAGATACTACAAGGGTCCTGCTCAAAAGACCTGTTCATTTAAAACAAAACCAGTGACGGGACAGGCCTTAAAAAGAGATGATGGAAGGTGACACATCTGAACATAACGCCATAAAAGTTGAAATACCACAGAAAAAAGGTGCAAGCTATTTCTTTCTCCAATCTCCGAGCGAGTTAATGACGGGCATAAAAAAATCCATTACAACTATAAATGTTATCAGGTCAGCGAGGGTTGCCTGTGCATCTGAGGCTCCAGGCCGGTAGCCAATAATGGGCCAGAGGGACAAATAGGAGCCTGAGATCTGAGTTAACTGTTACTACAATGGGGGGTGAACACGAGGGGGCAATTAGAGACAGCGTGAAAGACGCTGGTTTGCCCTTCTATTTCACATGTTTATGTAAAGTCGGGTCAATCCAGAAAGATAGTATGAAGACCGAAATGTGTAAAGCAAATTAATTGATTACAGTTCGTTAGTTAGTTATACTTTAATACAGTTCAAGTACTAGTTCAGCATAAGAGAAGTGTTAAAAAGAAAAGATTAGTTGAATATTGTTTTGCATTTCATTTTCAGTAATTTGACGAGTCCACTGGGTGAGAAAGAAAATCGAATGGTTTGCAATTTCCTTTTCCATCAAGGGCAAGCATGCAAATAAGCTAAGGCTACAAATGCTTCATAATCGATCGATAATTTAGAGAGATGCACAGATTGGGAAAATCAGGGCCGATGCCAATACAGATGTTTGAAATAACAACTTAGCTTTTAATGTTTGTCGAATGACTTCTCTTGGTGTAAGACTCCCACAATGCCACCGACGTCTCTCGTGTTTGACGATGAAAACAAGTCAGAGTTCGTTCAGCAGGTGACTTCATCTGCCCAATAGAAAACAACAAATAAACATCGGCTACTGACGTCGCTTCATGCCACACTATTTGCAGATGTGCCGATGTCTGTCAACGGAGTCAATATGGGCCATACAGATGTTGAACCGATCCGTATCTTGCTATTACTCATTACATGGGAGGATTTTTGTATTTATATCTCTCTGATTTAAAAAATAAAATAAAAATTGTAATGTCAAAATTGGGCAAAATTGGTGATTTAAAGCCTCTTGGGAATCAAGAATCAGACATTCATTTTATCAACTTGAGGTGATCGATTAACTCAAAAGGGAATTAATGTGCACAGAACTTTTGTCAACATATTATTAGTCAATTCATAGAAACCTATCAATTACAAACAGTTAACAGGCAAGGATATGATGTCATACTCCTGCTCTGTTTACACTGCTCTGTTTGAAGATGTATGCTAGTATCGATGTCGTCTATTTAAGCGTTTTCAGACTGATAATGGAGTATCCAGTTCATGAGAGAGGAGTTTTAAAAAAGGAGCTAAATGCCAGAAGTGAGCCTTGTTTGTTTTAAATCCACAGTGAACAAAAGGCTCCTGTCTGACTTGTTATCCACAATAAATATCCCTGCTTTTTGTGGCTCTAAATATTACACCTCAGGGGCGCTGGTGGCCGAGCGGTTAGTTCACGCACCCCCATGTACAGAGGCTACCGTCCACAAAGTGAGCAGAACGGGTTCAAATCTGACTCGTGGCTCCTTTGCTGCATGTCTTCTCTCTCTCTCTCTCTGATATCTGATGCTGTCTCTCTCATAAAGGCATAAAAAAAAACCTCTGTTATGAAAGATAGAAAGAATATTCCCAAGGGGTCCAAGATGGCTGAGACAGGTTATTTCCAGAAATAAGAAAATGAGCCAGCAGATTTAGATCCTGTGGAGAAAAACATCAGTATGAGATTATTCGATGGCTCCGTGGTGGTAAGGGGGCATTAAAAGCACCCCGGGTCCTTCTTTCAAACTCTTAAGGGGCCAGTATCAAAACATTAGTTTTGTTTATGGGCGCGCTGGCTTTGTCCTTCATGTGGCCTCTAAGGGTGATAAAGTGAGAGTTACACGATCCACCTTAGGCAGAAATAGGAAATGTTGCTGTGAACACCAGCTGTTGCGTAGGTCGACTCGGGCAGCGAGAGGCCTCGGCCTTCCCAGGCGCTGCCAAATAAAGAGACTACTGTGTTGTGTGAGACAGTCACCCCCCTCCCCACCCCCACCCCCCCAACCTTTACTTTTCATAAGGTGTTAAACTGCACAGGTGGGGAGGATTGCATAGTTTTAGGGGATGAGGGTTGCCATCTGAAAGAACATTATTTGTACAGCGTTGCAGCATTGTGGTTAATGTAGAATCAACATTTGTCAGGTGCCAGGCAGAGGCTCAGGCTGCAGGAAGACAGGGGTTCTGACATGTCAGGGGATTCGCTCCCGCAGTTTCAGACACTTCTCCCGCAAATGAATGACGGCTTGTGAGACATCTCAGCCTCACAGCTGACAGCACGGCTTCCACATTCATCTCCTGCCTGATCTCGGCGGGATCGTACGCACAAGAGGTGAAGTGCAATTCCATTAGCTGTCAACAGCAGAGACGCCTCGCTAACAAAAAACCAGGGGAATATGAGAGAGGAAAACATGATTGTAACCCCACTGGCACCCGCTGATATTACACACAGCACAGTCACTGTCAAGTTTCAACGTTCACAGAGGAAAGAGGTATCAGGAGGTTTTTAATAAACAAAAACAATCCTGTTCAAAAACCAACATTTTTTCTGTCATTTCATATTCAAAATTGTTATCGTGTCTCAGTCCATGATGCACATGAGGGACCTGATCTCAAATCCCTGAAAAAGAAATGATAAACCTTGAAGTTACTCATGATCTGTGTCCGTCGGGTAATTAGACTGTGTAGTCTGTGACTTCAGAGAACTTCTAACAAAAGGCAGGCACGCACAGATAACTTTCACTAATTGCCCACATTGAGGTTACTGTCTTTTTTGCCTGTCATGTGCTTATTTGACTTCTGGTTGTCTTGGAGCCAGCCTCAAGCGAACACTTGACGAACCGCAGGATTTTGCGCCTTCGCATTGGCTTAATTTTTCAAGACCGGAGGTTGCCGCTTGGTTGTGACTAATCCAAAATCTTCTCCTTTGATGATTCTTATAAATGATTAAACCTCATGTTTACATAACTGATTGTTTCCTTTTTATGTTAACATCATAAAAACATGGGGCGCTGTGGTTAGAGCATGCGCCCCATGAACCTCCCCATGTATGGAGGTTCGAATCCAGCCTGTGGCTCCTTTCCTGCATGTCATTCCCCACTCTCTCTCTCTCCCTGATTTCCAGCTCTGTCCACTGTCCCATCTCTCCATTAAAGGCACAAAAAGCCCAAAAATAAATCTTAAAAAAAAGAAAAAAAAAAAGAAAAAAAAAAACATTATAAAGACACAATTAGGTGTATTTTCTACACCCTGAAATGAAATGCAATGACATTCACTCGCTCATCAAAACACATTTAGCTTCAGCCCTCAGCTAGATTTGGTTTAAACATCTACTTTTTTTTATTCTCAATATGTGAATATAAAAAAACAACAACAACAACAACACACACACATGGGTGTACTTTCTGCACCCTGAGATGAAATGCAATGACATTCAGAAATCATGTCTTAAAGGAATGCATACTCTGCAACCTGCGCTGTCGATCGAAGGCCACCGTCCTCACTTGGACCAAAACAGCCTAATATACAACTCCCCCCTTTAATTACAAGCGTGTGTTCAATCAGGAGGCATAAAACTCCCGGTGGGTAGGTGGCATCTGTCTGTGAGGACTGCTAGGATTGATGTGGCAGTAGTGTGAGCGCTGCCTGGGTGGACCGGCGACACAGCCCCATCACTTTTATGACATCTTAAGGAATCTTCTTTTTAATACAGCCCATTACTGCTGACATACAAATCTTCACCAACGTGGGCCCCACCATCTATGGCCTGATCAATTTTTACTCTGCTGAAGCGTCCCCTTTCCTCTCATTTTGTCATCTCAAAATTCACATTATATGGGATTTTCTTATGGGAAAAAGTGCAATAAAAATACGTTAGCACCCCGAAGATGTGCACAAGTCAGTGCTTGGCTCTTACTAAAAATGCTTTGTGGAAAATAAAATTTGTTTCTGTAGTAAGCAGAACTGTTTAAATGTTATTTATTTTTATGTTCCTAAGAAAATATATTGTGAGGTGCAGCATTGATTTAGAACATAACCACGTCTGGATACGGGTCTGAGGGGCTGAATTTATGAATCCTTTGCACAACTCCTTTAATTGAATTTTCCAAATCTCTCACCACACACAAATAATCAATACCCACTGCTGAGGGAAACTTGCCTCAGAATTATTAGAGCCTCTCTTTTTCAATTTTGTAGTCATCAGCACATACAGACGCTGCGGGTAATGCCGTGACTATACCCAGAGGATTTATGCCCGCCCCAAGCCTGATTTGCTCGACAAGAGTGACTTCTTTAGAATGCTTACTGAAACTTTTGTTAACCTTAAAAGGACGCTCGTAAGGGCTTCTTAACGCTGCACTCACACTTTGAGGAAAGCAGTAGTTTCAACTATCACAGCGCAAGGCGGGAAAGGAGATGACAGGGCAGGGAGAAGGCAGAGAGGGGAAGGAAGAGTGGCAAGGGAGGAAGCCATAGGAGGAGAATTTGGGATACCAGGATCTGCTCTCAGCGTATAAATGTCCTTGAGGATTTACTGTGGAGGGTGGAGGTGATTGGGGAAAGGGCTGGTAGAGTAAGGGAGGCTATATCTGCAGTCTAATGCAGAAAATAAGCTGGAATACAAAATCTGCAGTTTTTAAAGTGTGAATATGCAATTAAAGTAAAAAGCACCCCTAACAAGATAAATACACTTAT